GTCGCCTTCCATCCCCACCACTGCGGCATCCAACTACCACCACCACCTTCCACCCTCACCACTGCCAGCCGAGGATTTCCATCGTCGATTCGCGCAGGCGTCTAACTTACTTAAAGGACACTGACTCTCTTTCTGGGGTGACCGGTGGTGGGGGATCGTTTTTTGGGGGGAGATCAGCGAAAATAACGTTGAACAATTTCGGGAGGTACTACGGGAAAGTTTCACCCACCAGGGGAGAGAGAATGTCTGGTCATTTTCAAGGTGGATGAACATATTTTGATGATTTTATGTTTTGCGAAGAGCCGGAGAGCAATTTTTCGAGCGGAATCGGTGGTATATGCGGCATGTGTATATTGTATGAATGATCGAAGAGGGCATATTGATAATTGGCAAGTTTTTCGAGAAAAGGGAATAAAATTGAGAGCCACGTGATTCGAGCGAGTGAAATAAATCGTTGACAGTAAAAGGAAGCAGCATCGATTTGCGACTGCAGAGATTATGTAATTTTACTATGTTTTCCTACATGACGTATCATGTAAGAAAAAACAGCTAAAGATTACATAAAGTTGTACGTCTAAGTTTTATAGAATTTTTTTATGATTTAATAATTATAAATAAATTAATAATTAGATATAAAAATAAACTATCTACGTACTAACTATCAAAGTAATTGTTTGCATAAATAAAATATTTTGAAAAATAAAAATAAAAATGGACATTTTTAAAATATATATTATTAAAAAAAAATTAATTTTTGGAAAAGTTATTTAATTCATCCGTAGAATTATTTATCATTAACTATATTTTTTGTATATTCTTTATATCAAAAATCTTGAAACACTTGTACATCGGACGGCATTACGTAATCTCAATTTCCCCGTATCCCTCTCCTCTCCTACTGTGCCACGTAACTGCTCACGCTACTTGAACTTCGAAAAAAGACTGTTCTGCGTGGTAGCAGGTTTTGCTCGAGGATCGATGTCGACTATTCGCCAAGCGTTATCGAACGAGTGACCTGCGACAGCGTCGAGCGCCCTTTCGAAAACGACATTGACGGAGACGACTACGTTGACGTCGACGTACAGTCGGCAACGTCAACGCCGAAGTGGAAAGCATGATTGCGTAACCTAGAGCACACAGCTGAAAGCATGTTGCTCGTGATAGTCTCCCACCAGAGCACCTCGGCGCAAACTACGTTGGATGTAGCCTCGTTACGCGATAAGGCGTTCTTCGTGTGGGTGAAACGACGAGCAATATACGCGATTACATTTTGTGTCTCGGCAGAAGCCGCACGAGGTTAGATTCGCGATATATCCAATGGAATGTTCCACAGTTCATTTTTGAATTTCGTTCTTTTGGAGAATTTTCTACATACATGATAATGTTTATTTTAATTAATGCTTTATTAATATTGATTGAAGATAAATGTAAATTAATTTGATAGTTATTGTTTCACAAAATTTTATTTTGATAATGGCGAACATTTTACGATAATTAAAAACCAAATTGTATATTGTACGATAGATTTTTGATATTTTTTTTCTTTACAAAAGCACAGAATAATAAAAAAAAAAGGAAATTGTAGATAAGCATGTAAGGAGACAAAAAAAGAGCATGAGCGCATGAGTTCTGCGTCGAGAAGAATTCTTGCGCAAGTATCCGGGTATTTACGCGTGAGACAAGAGTTCGTAATACTGCATTGGTAGTCGACTTCGTAATTGTGTATGTGTTCGCGTGTATGAGTGACGAAGCGCCGTACTGTGCTGCCACCTACAAGAGAGTGCGTGAACTAACAAATATAGCTAGCTTTTGCACGCGATAGCGATCCAGTTGCATGTACTTATTACAACGCGAGAGAAGTTTGTCTGATTCTGCTAATATTTTAAAATCTTTGGATACGTAATTTAATAAGAAACAATAAAATTACACATCGCAAATCAATATATATTGTTGATTTATCAATATATATTATTAAAAAATATTAAGAAATATAATTTTCATAAAAACAAAATACCAAGAAAAATTAGCAATAATATTATTTATATTGTTATACTTATTATTGTGATAATTCTGATTCTAATATTTACCGATAAAAATTTCTAACTTTTTTTATCGTAGCAATTAAATATTTTCATACAAATTATTTTATCAAATAAATTTTTACTAAAATAATTTCGTCCAAAAAAATCTAATTTTGAGTCAAACTTTGATAAAATAAATAATTCATCAGAAGAAAAAAACAATAAAAATAAAAAACATGAAGACTCAGAGTCACGCGGAGGTTCGTTGCTGCCGGCACAACGGTCCCCGTTGGAATGCATTTATTGCTGAATGGAGAGTTCCTATCTTCTCCGTTCATACAGTCTCTTTTTACCATCTTCGTCTCACCCACACGGTTACCTCAAATTTACATATGATAAACAGACAGAATCACTATCTCTTTCTCTCTCGACCACGCTTATCCCCCCTACAATGTTGCTTAGCGTACAGAGAGACACGTATCCATACCTCCAAAGGGAGTACTCGTTCCAGTTCGTATATGCACTTGGCAAGAGGGCGGTGCCACCTGTGTGTAGGCGCGTGAATTTACAGTTGGCTAGAATGTTGAGGGGGGAAGCTGGGGTGGTGAGAGATGCGCAGGGGGAAACGAGGGATAACCTGAACCACGTGGCGATCTATTTGTCACGCGAAAACGGCTACCGTCGAATCAAGTTAGCTTCCTGATGCGTCTTCGTTCGTTCATCAAGCTAATGGCATTTTTTACAGTGAAACTTAAAATGATATTATCTATCATCGAATATTTTCAAACAACTATAAATCGAGAATAATAAAATTTAACACGTATGTACATGTATACATTTAATAAAAAATTTTTATATTTTATATACGCAATTCTACAAAATCCAGTTTTGTTGGATTTGTTTTGAGGAAGTGTAGTAATAAGTCCGTCGGTGCGGCGTCACGGGAGGCGACTGACTGTCTAAGATCGTTTACCATTCGATTGAACCGAATCGCGGAATCAAACGCGACGGGGGAATAACGGGGAGGAGAGGGCACGTTGAAAAGTGAGACAGAGATACGAGCAGATAGAGAGATATATAGAGAGAGAATCGTGGAGGCACGTGCTACCGAAAGGAGTGGTGGGAATGTAAGTTATGCGCAGCACGTGATCTTCGGAGATCCGTCCGAGCATTTCTTCGTTGGGGGGACGTTCGCACATCCCCTGCACGTTTCTCTACGTGCGCGCGCGTACGTATGTGTAAGCTTCGCGAAAGAGACAAAGAGAAACGCACACTAGCAAATACGATTAAACGAATCGTAAATCGCGCGAGTGTATTGGTACCGGACAAAAATGTGTACGTATTTGTAAATCTATCGCACTCGCCCCACGTGTATCAGTATATACATGTTTTACGAGATGTTTTTGTACCAATGATACGTGCCATTCTATGCGATCTGAAGAACATACGCAAACTTTGCGTCTACGTGAGAAAGCGTGAATATTTTGACGCGAAACTAATAATCTCACCAATCTAATCACATACGATTTATCCTTTACAATTTTAATTACAAGAATTATTTTGAAAAGCTATTTATAACTTTGTTTACATATTATATTTTCATTCTATGTTAATATTGAAAATTCATGTTGATTGAAAAGTTTTATTTTTGATATAGATTGATTTAAAATTTAATCTTTAGAGACTTATATATATTTATATGTATATTTCCAAGAATTTTCAATCATGAAGATTACCTTAGATGTTAGTATCTGTTTTCTTTCAATTAGATTTTCAAAACCATTAATTGTTATACTCAAAATTCTAAATATATTGAAAAAAATAAACGTTTATGATTTTCTTTGTAAAAATTTTGCAATAAACATTGTGTAACGAATGAATGAATATTAATTATAAATATATTTATATATATAAGCACACGTAAACATTCATTAATCAGAACAATGTAATTTCTTCTAATACATGCATATACATACGTATTCGTTTATAAATCAAAGAAATTAAACATACATAACACATTTAGGCATTCGTATAATCAATAGAGTTAATAACTACGAGAAACAACTACCAATAAGCAAATCAGTCGCGCGTACATGATGTCATCTATTTTTTACGATAGTAAAAATACAACGATCGAAAGTCGATCACACACGATGTGCATATACAAGTTCATTGAAAGCTCACATATGACTGCTCGTCGTTCTTTAAAATACGACACGCCACGTGGTTCCTCCTGCCTCTCTGTTTCCCTTTCGTGTTCCGTCCCTCTTTTAACCGTTCCCTCACCCCCGCGGATTTCCACGCCCGGCTTTTTGCCGATAGGGAAGGTAAACAACCGTGGAGAGTGTCACCTGTTATTGCTCGTACGCAAATAGGCTTCATTCACGGTCAACCTCCATACATCGTCGCGTGCTTGTTGTGTACCGAGTTCAAGCGATACTACCTCTGTACTTACACACTTTCAAAGTTTCTCTCTACGACATTGAGAGTCTTCCGTGTAGTCGAGAGAAGTATTAGCGAGTTCAACGTATATGTAACAAGTTTTCTTCTTTAAATTTCTGAATCGCTAAGAAATCACTAAGTAATCGTTATTTCAATGGTATTAAGTTTACCAGTATAATTTTAGAAATCGTCTTCACAAAAATTTACTTCTTTCAAAATATAAAAAATTTTTTTCAAAAAAGTATTTCAAAAAAAGAATTTCCATATTCAATATACTCAAAATTTATTAAGAATTCAAAAGTTAAAAATCTAAACGATTTAGAAAAAACAGACATTTCTTTAATCATCAACGACTGATTAAAATCAAATGAGAAGTATATAGAATGGAAACAACTAGTCGACGAGGACAAAGCGTATTGCTAGTTGCAGGACAAGAAAGATGCATAGGTTCGAAAGACATGAAACGAAATGCACAATCATGTCTATGTAGTCGAAAGGTATGGAAAGATATGGAAAAGTATGGTAGGAAAAAGAGGAGGTATTACACAACGTATGTAACCCGATGTATAGAGGGAGATACGACGGCTAGTAGAAGAGAGCATCACAATGCATCGACGCACACTCCGACGATTCCTATATGTCGCTACGCTGCTCGCTATCTCGCTCTTCTTCCATCTCTCTCACTTTACCCTTTCTCTCGTTCATCCACGTGTGTTTACATCGTACTTTACGCTATATACGAACCGGTGTGCCCCCTGTAACGCGAGAACCTCTCACGCATACACGTGGATCATCCTCCTCCTCCCACTCTCCCACGTAGAAAGTACATAAAGTGTCCTCGTTCACGTCGATATCGTCAGCTGTTGCTTCCTCTGTTGCGTCCTGTAGATTCTCCTACGCGCGTGTATTTGTATCACGTCGGTTTCAGGTGTATCATCATGCCGACTTTTATCGAGTTGAGAAAACTGTCCAAGAGAGACTTTCATTATGATTTTATATAATAAAACAATGTTACCTATGTAGATGTTGTATTAAGATATTGGTATTTCCATAGATATGATAATTAGAAAATTTAATTTATATTTTAGGTGAGATTATGTACATTAAAGTATAATATCGATATTAAAAATATTAGCTCGGCAAATATTGCTGGCTGTGTCAATAAGACGTAATTATTGATTATGCGAATGAAAAAGATCTTCGAAAAACTTATATTCCTTGGGTAAAAAGTGATCTATAATCATTCATTGATCTATTGGATGCAAATTTATTCAAGCAATCAATCTTATTATCGATAATAAATCAATTGATTCAAAAATGTGAAGGTTAATAAGGTTTGTATAAATTAACAATTCTGCATAACATTGTGTGCTTTTATAGATATAATGATTTTTAATTATTTTTAATGATTCAAGACATGAAATATGAAGCTATCAAATCACTAAATCTTATATTTTTAAAAATGCGATCTAAAGTTGAACTGTATTACTTTATTAAAAATACAAATTTCACAGTTACAAGAGTACTCGTAATCTATATTGGATGTATTTAACGTACAGTTCACTATTTTCGACGCAAGAACACATTCGTGGTTCTCGTCGAAATGTTCTCGTGTAAATGCCCCCCATGTCCTCATTGTCTCGCGTGGTACACAAGCCATTTCACGTGAGAACGTACACGCTTGGTCGCGGCTCGCGATTGTCAATGTCACGGGACGCGCGCGACTGCTTCTATTAAACGCGTGTGCACCAGAGCACACACGCCGTCACACTACTTGTTTCGACCACTTGGCGGGAAGAAAGAGGGCCGAGAGCGTATTGCATATGCGGAGACACGTGCTCGTGGGACGCTCTTTTGCGGTCTGCACTACTACTACCGGTAATTGTACATGCTCATTCGATTCGTGTTGTACTGACCGTAGTATACTCGGCAAGAATGTTTGGAGAGAGAAAGAGAGAGAGAGAGATTCTGTTTTTAGAGAAAGGAAAAAAGGTGACACGTGTGAAATTGAATATGCGAAGAAGAATGTTTGGAGTAATCGGAGAATTTTGGTTTTATTAGTTTTAAGTATATTATCAATGGATGTAATTAAAAATAAGAAATAACATTATATGTAGAAAGAATGTGTATGTTGAACAATGTTTGAGTTTGATATATAGCTCGTTATAGTTTCGAATTTTATTAGTGAGTGTTTTATATAATGTTTATGTTTTCATAAAGATATTTATTAAATAAAATATTATTTAGTAAAATTGAACTGCTCATCGTTATTGGAAACTGTTCTCTAAAACGAGTTTATCGTTCGAGATACATCAGAAGCTCAAAGGAGCTATATAAAGTAAATTTAAATGAAGATATATAGCGTGTAATAATTGAACTATTAGCTCGAAAGAGCTTTTATTGCCCGCTGAAGTATCTGATATTTTGAAAACTCGATACGTGAGATTTTGTTGCTAAATAAAAAACAAGAATATAATAAATGCCGTTTGTAATAATTTTTAATTTTATTTGTTAAATTTTTTTCATTTTCCCTAACGTAAAATAATAGCATTAAATAATATCAAACAAAATATTATATCATTGTTCGTTAAAAAAATCTATAAATAAATTAATAATCTACTAAAAATATTTTAACAAAAAGAAAAGGAAAGGAAATATTGAATCAAAAATGAGGGAAAAGGAAATCAATACCAAACATTTGCAATCGTAAAAAATACAATTGCTGGGTTTCATTCATCTAGAAAACAATAAAGGAGGCACGAGTTACTGATATAATTTCGAACGGTGAGTGAACAATGCCAGTACTAGTAAAGACTAATAAAAGTACAATATAAGGGTCCCGGTAAAGTAGAAAGGAGCGTAGAGAGAAAGAGAGAAAAAGAAAAGAGAAACATAGTGGAGGGTTACGCTACTGAGGATTAAAGGTTCAAGGCCGAATAACAGCGGGGTAGAGGAAGAGAAAGAGAGAAAGATCATTCGCCATCTAAACGTAAAGGAGTCAGAGCTATTGGCAAAACAAGGATCGAAGAATGACAAGGTGGCACGAAACAACACCTGTCTTCATGACCCATGTAGAAGAAGATTCTATGAGAAAACCGCAATGAGTAAACTATTGGTGGACAGGTGCCATTATTCCTGTTATATCGGTGGAGGAATCTAAGTAGAAAAAGGGACTGGCATTTTTCACTGGTCATTAACCTTCTTGGGTTATTCACTTTAACTCTCTTGAGAGCGATCGGATTTCTTTTGGCTTTCAGTATTTTTTCAGTATTATAAAAATTTATAATTCTATCGTGATGAATTAATAATTGTACGTTATTCTCTTTCTATTTCTTGATTTAAATTTCATTGAAAAAATTTTACATAAATTAAATGGAAAATTCAGATGAGTTTGCATATATGTAAATTTAATTCTTGTCATTTACAACATTTTTGAAATAAAATAATGATAAATATGAAGAAACATATGTTATGAACGATCCATACAATTGAGAAAAAAATTTAAATTTTTAAATAA